TCTCTTAAGAATGCTTAGGTAAATTAATTGTGAGTTTCATTCATTGATTCCTTCTCTTGGTGATTGTGTTCGAAATGAAAGAGGTAAATATTTTTGTTTCTATTTTTTTTACACTGAATCCAATGGCACTTATAGCGTACAGTGCGCATCGTGATAGTCGTGATAGTCTCTACCTTTCCATTGAAACAAGTACTTTAGGACAAGTTTGCTTCAATTTTTTTAAATGAAAAACTTGTATTTACCATACATTAACATTCTAGATCCCAAAGATCGGATTTGTAATTCTCTTTTCTGGCTGCTATACCGATAAAATGTCTTGTGAAGTTGTATGGGGAGTTTGGGGATTTGGTCTGATAACAAGATAGCCAGCTGGTGATCTGTTTTATTTTTTCCCCATCACGTTTGTACTGGAGAATATATCGATATTGTATTGAGAAGTTACTTGTGGATCACGCTCCTGGTAGGATTAATGTATCTTTGCTTGCATCCTAGTCAGGGGAGACGCGAAGAATTGTCCATTTCCAAATGACCTCATGGCCAGATTTTGGAGTGCCCTCGTCTGCCGAGTCGTGCCTACATGTCATTGGTCTGGTCCGGGAGGCACAAAATGATGCAGTGCAAGCATTAGGGTCCAAATGGAAGGGACACCCTAGAGGCCCGCCCATTATAGTACACTGCAGTGCAGGTATTGGTCGCACAGGGACCTTCTGCACTATTGAAGTGAATGTGGCTCGTTTGGCTGACGTGGGAAAATGTGAGGTATTTAACACAGTCAAGACTTTAAGAACTCAGAGGGCACTTACTATTCAGACACCTGAACAGTACGAGTTTTGTCACGTGGCCATATTGGAGCATGCGCTGAACATGTCAAGTACAAGGCAAGACGAGAAAGAGGCAATCACAGACTTCTTGGAAGGCTGGAAAATGCAGCGGAGAGATTCTAGTGACACGGATTGAGCCCAGTGTACTACACAAAAGACGGTGATTGGACTACAAAGGGTAGGCCTTAGTGGTCCAAGTGTTTTTTAACGACTCACCCCTCTCTCTGTCAGGGATAAGTGATAATCAGTTCTAATTAAACAGCCCAGAAAGCTTCCAAATGTCAGTGAAGCTCGAGCGTGGGATACCTCCCCCCCCCCTCCCCCCGTTCAAAATTCCCTCTCGTGTATTTGGTACATTTACCCTTGGGGAATCCTCAGAGTGCAAAAACAAATCAAAATCAAAAACCCTCATGAAAACGCACAAAATAATTCTATACCTTCAAAGCTAGCAAGTATAGCAAAGAACCATTTCGTTTACATTTGACTTTCTAGGTGTGCTTGTTAGATTCTCAACCATTTACACCCTAACATCATTCTGCATATTCTCCGTACTGTTCTCCTCCATACATTCCCTAAGGTGCTGACAAGGAGAATTTGTTTAACAGTTTAGACCTCCTTAAGTTATTGATCATTTCCTTATATTCTAACTTGATGCTTGATTCAGAGGTGATATTGTAATGAGAAATTAGATGCTGGTCACTCTTTGGAGTTAAAAGGTTTAACAATTGAGATGAAACTTTTGGTTGTCTCCTTTTTCTATTTAGTATAATTTCAGAGCTGAGCAAAGAGTTTCCAGCAATCTGATTGGTCGAGCGATTCCTTATATCACGCTATATAAACCGCTCCACGCGGTTTATATAAAATGTTAAAATGAAATGTTAATAAATGTTACTAATATATTATGATTTTAGAAATTTCTCTGTTGTTCAGCTCTGTTTAGGGGAGTCTGTTCTAAGTTAGTAAACCAGCTTTCCAGAGTCAGTCGTTGAAAATAGTCAGTGCTGTAGGTTAGGCATTGCGCAGAGTCCCAGTCAATGTTGTGGTTGGTAAGTCGATGGTGTTCAGCAATGTGATTGCTGACATCACCTTTCCTCGTCGCCCGTCTGTGTTCAGTCAGTCTTGTTGTGAGGTTTCTGCCAGTCTCACCGATGTAGGAGGCTTGGCAGTCGGAACAATTGATCTTATAAATCGTTCCCTGTCTGTTCCTCGGTTCGTCTTTGTCTTTAACGTTGGTTAGTAACTGACGTAGTGTGGTGATGGGTTTGTGGGCGACGCGGATATTGAAGGGTAGTAAGATGACGTCAGTCACTGCCACCGACAACAGTCCTTCTCAGGACTACACTCACCCGGACGATCAGACTACACCTTCACATGTTACCCCCGGGTTCAAACCATTTACTGCACAATTTCATATGTTCAGCTTCGGTTGTTACCTAAATGAATACTCCAAAATAAGGTTTCTGAGGAAGGATAGGAACTGAATAAATTATTTAACGAATTATTTGTCGAAAAGTAATTTATTCAGTTCCAGTCCTTACTTGTAAACCTGATTTTGGGGTATCCATTAAGAGTTAAGTCGCGACCGTTCATTTTCAGTGTGGCCGCCTTTCATAGTTGACATATATGTCATGAGGCTTTTGTGGCGAATTAGTGGAAGAATCAGGGTCCCAGATGTTCTGTTTCTTAATTGTTTTATTCGCGTTGGCAAATATAGTACGAATTGACGAGCTGGTGGGATGTAGCATAAAGATAGTACCAAATGTACTCTTTTGAGTTAAAAAATGGTCTGTCGATTTACTAGCTCTACGCCAATCAAACTGCAGCGTTAAGGGGGAAAGGTTAACGCCACTCCTCTGTGGTAGATTCTGCCCCATGATGTCTGTCGAATTTTTTTTCTTGTTGTTTCTGTTTGTTTGTTTCTTTCCAAAGGAAAAAAAAAAAGACTGAGGACCCTGAGGAGTAAGAAAAGAGGCACCTCCTTCTCGAACAATCCTGTTTTCCCGCGCTTTCGATAGTTTGCATTTTTCCACCTCTATCTGGTTGGGTAACACTCGATGAATACTCTTTTTGATTTACCAGCGCTGACTAAATTCACATTTACGATGATCTTTTTCAATCATGCGCTGGAAATTCTTTCATAATTACTTTGCAGAAAGGTTTAAAAATCGAGGAAACAAATGACAAAGCATCACACAGGGTTCGCACGGGTCCTGGTGAAATCTGGAAAGTCCTGGAATTTTATTTTGACATTTTCCAGGACTGGAAAGTCCTGGAAAAAGACTACAGGGTCTGGATAGTCCTGGAAATTTGCCTAATTCAAGCAATAAAGTTTTCAGAATTTACGTCATAAAAAATGTGTATAAACTGCAAGAAGGAAAATTGATTTTGAAATCTTGGTAATGAAAGGATTAAAGGTCAAATTTGGGGGCCTGGAAAAATCAATCTGAGCCTGGAAAAATCAATCTGAGCCTGGAAAAGTCCTTGAAAAGTCCTTGAAATTTGTTTCTGAAAAAGGGTATGAACCTTGATCACACTCTTGCGCCAATGATGACGATTTACTAATCTGCCAGTGTATTCACAGTGGAGTCATCGTGTATTCACGCGCGCACTAATCACTCGTGAAATGGTGAGAATCAAGGCTGCACAATGCAATACTATCTTTATCCTTTAGCGCTGCTGTCTGGTTTACCATGAGCGTATTATCTGTAAAACCTTTTTTGTTACCAGAGAACGTTCTAAGCTCTGTTTTGTATCTGTATTGCTCTTGATGTCGAGAAGAATCTGAAAACATTGCACATAGATTTCATTTACCGTAGATCGGGAACATCTTCATGGAGGCAATATCCCTTGAATGAAGGGTTATCTTAATTTACGCTAAAGGTATTTTAAAAGACAGGGCTGTTTAAAGCACCAATTTTGTAGAATACGTATGATATTTATAACTTTTTATGAGAAATGAAATTTCACATGAGGCTTTTTACAGTCTTGAAAATTACTAAATATCATCTACAGTTTCCAACTATAATGGGATGAAGTGCAGAGCTCAAGTTATACCCCATTCACGCCAGCAAAACATGTTATGTGAAATCTGGTTTAACTGAATTAAAATCAGAAACGTAGAAATGAAAACCGAATTTTCCACAGGTTTAAGTAGGTTTAGTCACTAACCTGTATTTTCAATGTGCTGAATTGAAGTCGACAAACATCAGTTTAGGCAGCTTCTGGGGAGAAAACAATTCCACCCTTTTTAAACAAAACAACCTTAAAACATGTTTGAGCTTTGGTGTGAATGGGGCAGTAGTCTCCTTAGCAACCGTTGTCTGGGATGTCACGTAATGCTTATCCCTCTGGAAGAGGCACCGTTGCGTGACATCCTACAGAACGGCTTTGAAGGAAATTTGTTAGTTTATGATGGAACAATTTGTTTGTTGCGATATGTGTGACAATCACGTTTCTTTATAAAATTTTTTAATACAAGAACATATTGCTCAGTTAACGTTATCATTTAAATGACATGAATTCCGTAAAGGAAAAGTTAAATGTAGCAGATTGGTTTTTTTTTCTAGGAAATGTTGGTGTCATGAGTAATTCAGTTTTAATATTTTTGTAAATAATATTCAATTGACAGTGCGATTACAAAAAGTGTCATATCAAAGATTTTCAAGACATTATAGTTTTGTAGAAGCTGTATTACTAAAGATATCTAGGTAAATAACTTAAAGAATTGAATGTTTTTTTAATGACAGAGTCAAAAAAAGTAAAAGTCGATCGAAACTGAGAAATGCTAAAGTTCTGAGTCTTTCAAAGGAAATTTTCTATTGTCAATAAAGATTTCCTCACAAGGAAACAGTTTCAGTTTTAGGCTGAAAAGAGTTAGCTGTCACATAGAGTTGGCCCTCGATGATACACTGAATTGACCAATCAGAGCGCGCGCTTTACGTGATTGGGTCGTAAAAAGAGTTGGCTCTCAAAGGTGGGTGTACATTGAGTGATGTTGCAACAGCAGTTGCTTTTACGTTTCAACTTTGAAAGTTCCCATGCCGCTGGAATTAACTGCGCGGCCGGCGCAAATGGATCCACTTGCACAGTCCCGGCTTTTGACAGCTGTGTTTAAAATAAGCAAAATAACAAGCGCACGTAAAACGGCGCTTTTTTCGCTCTACCACCCCTCCGCTAGTTTCTATTCTATTAGAGCTTGGAACTAGCTTAGCCATTGAAAATGAGCGGAAAAAAAGGATCGCCGGCTCCGCTGACAATTGCAGCCATCGTTTAAACGCTTTACCAATCTTTCGTTAGTCTCCACTGACAGAGAGTCTGGTACTGCTGTTGATCGGCCTGTTTGGAAAAACTAGCGTTTAGTTTACGTTAAAATGCATCCGAACACAGATGCTCCTACGCCGTAATGCATGACGGTTATTGTTTCCATGATTTGCCATGACTGGACATTTTTATCTGAGAGATAATTTGTTTTTGTTTAATTTGGTTGGGATCAGCAAGTTCCAGTCGATTAAAAGGTGGGTAACTCAATTCATGGGATAAAACGCTGTTTGCGGAGTAGCATTGTTTAATCAGCGGTCTTCGTTATATAATCAGGAGTTTGCGTAGAACTTGGAGCAGTCTTGAGCTGAAAGTGAATCACTATATTGATCAACTCCGGAAATGACGGTTTTAACGGGCTTTGTGGAAATATAAATATGTGGAACACTGAAGGTTGCGGTAAGAGGTGTACAAGGGTCACGCATGATTAATCTCAAAGCAATACGTGATGCATTAATTTGAAGAAATTTGTGACACGCGCGTGACGCAAAAAGTTTCCTAAAATTCATGCGTGAAAAGGAATCAGGGCCCCTACCCTCCCCCCACCTCTTTGCTACCTTGAGATGTTTACAACGTTCCCAAAGTAATAATGTCGACCTGTTTTCCCTTAATCGACATCACAGCTAGAGGAAAACACCGCACACTTACGTTGCTAGGATGGAGACCTTGTGGAGAAACAAAATCGCTGCCAGTTAGGAGATACTCGCGATCGATGCCAAAGCTAAGACTTTCATAATGGGAGAAAATGTGGTTATGGGAGTTTATCGTTAACCTGGAGAATTCTTGGTCGAGGGTCGTATTGGTCGTGGTAGTGTTTGGCAGACATTTAAGAGTTCAGGAATGTACCTAAGCTATATCTCGTCTCAGTTATGGTAGAACAAAAAATTTAGTTTTAATCAGCTCTGTTAACAGTCAAGGCAGTCGTTTACTGAGGTTAGTCTTGTCACAAAACAGTTTCTCCCCCAAAATGCGTTGCGTGACTAGACCAGACAACGCAGCGAAAGGAGAGACCACAGGTGAAGGCATTCTCGAATTCCTAAAGATCTATTCACAGAATGTTAGAGTCACATCATGGAGTTTTAAAAGTCATGGTCTTTCTTGCAAAGTAAGGATCATGTTTTGACTTAAATAATTGATTTAAATCGTAAGGCCGTTTTTATGTTTTAAGGTAATTTAGTAGCAATTTTAGTTCCGCAGAAACTGCAACAGACAGCGGGGGATTGTTCACGCCTTGACCCAAACCACCTCCCTTCTTTTGAAAATGTTCGGCCTCGGCCTGAAGTCACGATACATATATCTTATTAACCAAGCGCGAGGGCCGTACTGGGAGAATATTGGCCCGAGGTCTTGACAGTGCGGGCCGAGCGCAGCGAGGTCCGTACAAAAAAGACCGAGGGCCGATATTCTTCCAGTAAGGTCCCGAGCAAGCTTGGTTAATAAGAGATTTATTATACGACTGAAGTTCAAAGGGACACAAGTGCGGTATCATTCGGGACCATTCGGGACAGTGCCCGGTCCAATACTTAGAGAATATTGGACCGGCAATAGAGCATTTTGATTGGTTGATTTTAGTTATTGGCCCTCTGACTGCCCGATTCGTGTAATAAATTGTACTTCTGCATGCACCCGCGCACGCTCCGAAGTCGCACGTGTGGCCAGCAACTTAAGAGTGGATCACGCGTCAATTCTCCGCCGCAGCAGTGATGATCGGTTCTAGGATTTCTTATCGATTATGGCAAGATGTCTTGTGATATCGGTTTAATTTGAAATTATCATGCAAGTTCTACCTAAAATTTTATACAGTAAACTTTTCAGTAGAATTATACGAAAGCAATATCTACGAAAACAGCAAAATAAACTATATTGAAGTGTGCTGCTCAAGTGAACAAAAACCAGCGCTAGTTTATTTAAAATACGTACTTTAGATTTTCTAAATTGCAACCCCAAAATGTTTATGCTAATTACGGAAATGCACATTTTTAGCTTTGACAGACCATTGTCTCAACTACTTTCCGCAGGACTTTAAGAGTATTGCGTTCTTATCAAAGACGAGATAATCTGCAATATTCTTTGACAAACGACTTATTCCTAGTCGCAAAGTAAAACATTTTGGAGCGCATTGTGGCCCAGAATACAAAGTCAACGATTTTCATGTCTAACACTTGCACGTGCGTAATCGCGTGAACGTCTATTGACATGTAAATAGTGTTTTATAAGGGTGAAAAAGGTCCTTGACTGATAGATTAGGTCACGCCTGAACTAATACAAGTTACATCACTGAAGTGTCTTCTCTTCTTTTCCATGTAAATTTGAAAAACCAATTAAACTTTGCGAGCATTATGTACGCTAATAACGTAATGAACGTGTAGGCTTTGACACTTTGCAGAGTATTACTACTGTAATTATCTGATAGAAATGTTAAAAAACAATTGGTTCAGACGAAGTCCATTGTCTCAATCATCAAGATGCAGAGATGGACGGCACGAAAGATGTGGTTGAGTTTCTCGAGAGGTAGCTGAGCCGAGAACAACTGTATCATGTTCCAGTTGCTACATATCTCGGTGATCCCACGTGAAAGCACCAACCATCATTTTACCAGGAGATCTTTCTAGTAGCATTGCATACATCTAATTCATAGCGAGTAAACAATACCGTTTAAACATGTGCAGAGTATCACGTGCACACTCAGCTTGGTCGCATGAGAGAAAACGTGAGTGATCTCGTGTTCTCTGCGAGTAACCTTCACTCAACTTTACCAGCTCCACACAACTGAAAAGACAGAGTTGTTAAAAGTGAACAAAGTTATTTATTTAACAAATAATTTCTCAAATTTTACAGCAAGCATGATCTTTTCATAACAAAATTAATCTTAGCGCCACACCATTGATTACCAGCCATAGCGTAATGGCAACAGTTTACAGAATTTAAACACCTATAAAACATTTCTTTCTACATTGAATTTACAAATTTAAGGTTCTCATCGATCTAACTGCAGCTTTAACAATTTCATTCACATGGTAACATTGACATTGGATGTGACTTTAAGGCTTGACAAAAATGATAATATCTTTCCAAAGACAATTTCCTGTACTGCTGAGGCATTGCATACAGGAACTCTTCGGTTGATTTCTCACTTCATTTTCCCTTCCCTCGTCCCAAATAAATTAAATTATGATATATCTGTTGTGGAATAAATAAACATTTCAATTTTACATAATACTTTTCTTGTTAATAGCCATAATTATTAGCGCGATATCATCAAGGGCCAAGCTTAGGTAAGAATGATTTCCTTTCGTCGCCTAGCAAATTGCACCTAAATCAATCTTTGAAATTTTTTTTTTCTTTCTTTTTTCTTTAGTTACAAATGACAATTGTCAAAAAAAATTAAATACTTGGAAATTATGTTTAGGTAACCTTGGAAACACAGGAGAATTGCAAAAGTGAGAGAGTAAAAAAAAGTTACTTTCAACAAAAAACTGATCTCTCCTTCACTTACTATTTTACTAACTTGCTTAAAAACGAAAATCAATAAATAAAATTAAAATTGCAAGGGCATATAAAAAAGAATCCCTTGGGCACAACGTAACTGTCATAAATTTAACTCAAATGGGTGAAATCCAATAAAGTGTATTTTTTCAATACTCTTTGTGGTAAAATAAGCCATGAATGGCACAGTACTAAAGGATAACACTGACAGAGAGATAAAGAATCCACAAAATCACATACAAGAAAATCCAATAAGTTAAACCAATCATATCTTTTAAGATTTTAAGCTTCTAATAAAAACTAGTAAACACAACACTTTCCAATTAACAAAACAATTTACTTTTTAACATCACACAATGACCCCCTTTCCACTGAACCAAAATGCTCCACCATAGCAAGTTTAAACGTAATGATCTAGCCGTCACATTATGTGAATCCTCAAGTACAAAAACACAATCCTGACCAATTAAAAATAACACAATCCAAATGGTCCATTAAAAACATTTTTCTTACAAGTTAAGTTCACATTTTCCTTCAAGCCTCCTTTGCCAAACATACCATCTAAAATGGTTGAAGGCATGTTAGCATGATGAGACTCAAACAGTTTTTCCTGCTCTTTAGGATCAACAGTTTCATTTAGGGACATTTGGATTTTATAGGCCACTGCCAAAGTCTCTAGTTCTTCTTTGTAACTTTCTAAACCCAAACGCTCTGACACATCAATGCGGGTTTTACACTGGTCCAGCAAAGGAGCTTCTGGCTCTTCCATTATGTCTTTCAAAGATAAGATGTCATTTCCAGAGTCTTGCTTCTCCACAACAACTTCTTCGAGAACGACATCTGGCACAGAGCTTTCAAAAGAGCCACTACTTTCAAATGAAGAACACTCTTCTAAAATCCAGCTCTTTAAGGTGTCCTCCTCAAAGTCTCCAACCTCATCTTCAATGTGCAGTGGCTCGAAACAGACTGGTTCATCAGATGGGAATGAATACTGATGAAGGTATGGATGAGCAAGGGCTTCTTCTGCTGTAATTCTTTTATCTGGATTAAACTTCAGCATTTTCACCAGCAGATCAAGAGCTGCCAAAAAAAAAAAAATGAGAAGCAAAATTTTGAGTATTGCCATTACTTCAGGAAAATATGGTAGCCATCAGCTAATCATGTAATGATGTTACTAAGTACTCACTATTATACAAACACTGTCAGTATTACATCAGGCAAATACATGTAAGAGTCTCTTAGAGACACATCAGTGATTTCTCCCAGAGGAAAACTAATAAAAAACATGATTTTACGCATGTATCTTACTGGTACTGTGAATTTTTCGCTAAGTACTAGGGGTGACTAAGGAAGATTGGCATTAGGTTCTAGGTGTCACAATTTACATCTTGTTTTCCAGGAATATGAAGAATTTCACTTTTAAGCGTGTGTTTTTTGTTTGTATACTGTGACTTAACAATTTCCTTTCACGCATGATTTGGAGCATGTAGATTGTTGGGTATTATTACAAAGGTTAAAATTTCAATTATTTCCAGTGCTTCCCAATTGGTTAGCCAATCCTACAGAACATTCCATTTGGGTTCGGTATGTGGTTAAGATTATTAATTATTATACGGTTTTCAGTTTAGCTAGTAAGTCGCCAAGCATCTTAAACAAGGTCGGTTCATCAAACCGCTACATAAAAATGCTTAACGTTTAAAATTCACACGAACAAATGAAAGAAAAGAAATCGTCAAGAGAACAAGAAAATGAAATTTACTTTACCACCCGCGACTGCGCTGATACGTAAACAATATTTTAAGTCCACTGGGGTGATTTTTTGCCGATCTGTTGCGCCATGAAAAACTCACAAAAAAGGAATAATATTCTCGTGGTTCGCGCAAATGGACCCGATATTCGATTGTATTTCGAAAGATATCAAGCGAGAGGCGATATCAAGGCCCTTCTGTGCCAACTAATATCATCGTTAAATTTAGAAATTTCCTAACTCACGACATTTTTTTCAAGTGTACCTCCCGATTCGAGCATTTTAATTTTGTACATTCTGTCCTCATCCATTCCGAAAGACACATTTCAGCTCGTAAATATTTAGACTGTAGAAAAAGAAAACTTCACCAAAAAGATACACCCTAGATACCTAGAATATTTTTTCTTTATTTATATTTTACATTAAAACTCATAAAATATTCATAGGGTGTCAAAGTACAATTCTGGAGTGAGCAATACGAGCGAAGTATCAGAAAATTCTTGAATATAGGGAAGACTCGGAAAACACGGGTTCATTCCATTATAAATAAACGAAAAAAACTGGGATGACAGCGCTCATAAGAATCAGAGAAAAAAAATTGGTGTTACGTAAGTGAACTTGACCGCGTCGCTTCCAATTGCGCGACTATGCAAATGAATTCCAATGTTTTCATGTACGGTTCGAACCGACAACAAAACCGGATCCTACCTTGGATGCCGATGTGTGGAAACTTGCTCCCCAAGGCAGATCCCTGCTCCTGAGTCCTCTTCAAAGCCGTTCTTTCTGGTAGATGTGGTTTAAGAACTGTCCATTCTTCCTCCGTCAGGCAGACAGAATCTAAAATTTGCTCCATTTGATCGATTTCGTGTCTCCCTTCGAACAGGGGTTTGCCTAGTAACATTTCAGCAAAAACACACCCCGCGGCCCACATATCTACCGAACTGTCATAAGTCGATGCATTCAACAACAGTTCAGGTGATTTATACCACAAGGTCGAGACGCTGTGAGTTAGATGGCCGTTGTGTGAGTAAGCCGGATCGAGAATTCGTGATCGTCCGAAGTCGCCTATTCTAAGAAGCAACGTTTCAGAGTCAACTAGTAGATTACTTGGTTTCACGTCACGATGAACAACGTTCGCGGAGTGGATGTATTTCAGTCCTCGTAAGAGCTGATATAAAAATAATTTAACATAATCCTCTCGCAGTTTTCCTTTACTTTGTAAGATTTGATGTAGGTCAGAATCAATCAGGTCTTCGACAAGATAAAGTTCGGTCGCCCCTCTGAAATGTTCGTCTGTGCCGTCCAAGAATGGCATGCCCTCAGAGTCCACTACTTTTGTTAATTTCACCACATTCTCGTGTTCGAGGGTCTTTAGAGCCTTCACTTCTCTGAGAGCTGCTTTACAGTTCATTCGGTCTCGAAGAATAAGTCTTTTAAGAGCAACCCGTTGGTCGGTTTCCACATCGATGGCGGAATAGACCGCGCCGCTGCCACCGGTTCCCACAAGCTTCATGTTCGTGAAGCCAGAGCCGAGAAAGTCCGAGTTCGTTCCTTCAGACATAGTGAACGTCTTGGTAAAGTCGATGTGATCCCCAAGACTCCTGGGGAATAATGAGCTACTGTTATAAAGGTAAGAGCATTTCTACGGCCATCCACGACTTTCTCCCGTGGTTGCGCTAAAATTTTTTTCAGGACAATCGTTCGAACAAGATATCAACCGGCGAGAACAGATATCCTTACATCTGATTGGCTCATAGGATGAAGAGTATCGAACAACACCTGTGATTGGTCAAAAGTCTCTATGTTTCAGGTGACGTTCACATGCATCACATGAAGACAGATAGCGTATGACTACATCTGTTCTTACATCAGCCGTAATAATTCACGTTGGTAAACACATTTCCTTGTTACATAACAGAGCACACGTCCTCTTGTCTCTGTCGATACTGGCCAGCCTTCGATTTTCTGAGTAGTATTTTGTATATTTTCAGTTAAACGGTTGAATATTTTGTGCATTACGCTAATCTAAGTGATTTGGATCCACACGCAACAGGAAACACGCAAATGTTTCTTTCGCCAAGGTCATAGAGCTATTGCATCGTCAGCGTAGAAAGTTCATCCGGTTCTTACTTCACAACAGAAATATGAGAGCTAAAGCATCGAAACTAGCGTTAGTTACCAAATTTGACTTTTTCCCTCTTTTACTTTCAGTTTTGACATGAGGGGAAACTGTTCAAGATAAAATGAAAGAAAAAATGGAAGAAGGAAGACTTTCCGAATACTGCGCATGATTAGGGCATGAAAAATTAAGAGGATGTGGGAGTGAGAGGGAAATTGAATTTTCCGAATGACGTTCGTCTAGATGAAGTACTTCCAATTTTGCTAAGAATCGCTGATGTCAAAGCGTGGGATGTTGACAGTCAATCGAATACGACTACAACATTGAGACAAATCACCTGCCTGCTAGAACGCCTCCGATTTTAGTTCAGATGAATATAATTTTGCATATTGATTCCAAAAAAAGAACACTAATAACGGAAACAAAAATTATGAGTAGAGCTGTCGTATTAACGCGGAATAACTTCTTCTCGTTGAAGTTGGGCAGCTGGCTTATCGAGGAATGAGAAAATGTCGCAAAAATTGATGAGATGCCCAGTAAAATTAAGATTTTGTGCAGAGAGCTTAGCTGTCTTTCGAACAGGTGAAAGATATATTTCAATTTTGCAAAACCCCAGGAATAGCTTTTGAAAACCACAAAATTAATTTGACAGAAGTGGGTCTCTACGAAACTTCCGGAAATCAAGAGTGAAATTACGTACTGCGACTGAGGAGTGTGAACAATTTTAAAAAACAAAATATTAAACTGAAAGAATATTGTATTTCGTCTAAGTCATATTTCGAAAGGAACATATACATATATCACGTTTAGTCGAATGATATATATTTTAGATCTGCTACGATTTTTCTCCTTGTTGTCCTCTTCTTATTTTGTTGGAATTTTTAACGGATTGGAGCTCCCAAATTTTTTCTGGCAAAACAACTTGAACTTCTTGGGAGGGCTTGCGAGGAACAACTGAAAAGCGGTAGCTACGAACATGGTGGCCTTAATGCATCCGGCACTGCTGCCACACGGGCATCATGCCAGCTTTAAATATTTTTAGCCTCGATCAACTGACGCAAGAGCAGCATAAAATATGCGTTAACCAAGTGAAAGTTCACCACAAAGATCAGCCTCAGGAAAAATTAGTCTTCCTTCGCCTCGATATACTGAGCAGAGTTAAATTTGCCAATTTGTCCGTGAGGCAAAATCAACAACCAATAATATTTGAGGTTTATTTTCTTCAGGAAAGTTGTACTTATGATGAAGACAGTCTGGTGAAAATTCCGCCGGTCTAATTGTGCAACGAAAAAAATGATCCACATAAATGATAAGGGCATAAAATTAGTCGAAAACATTTGTATGCCTAAGTGACGCAAGAGCAACATAAAATATGCCTAAGTGAAAGTTGAAGGCAAAAATCAGTCTTTTGAAAATTGTCTGAGGTTAACTTTGCGAATCGATGCGTGGAATGAAATCTGCATGTACAGAAAAAAAAAATTTAACGGAAAGGTTTCAAAAAGAACAGAAAAGAAAACACTTGTCATGTCGCAAATTTTATAGATTACCCGTCAAATAACGAATGATCAATCCATAAAAGGAAGATGAACCGTCATATAATTATTTTTTGTTTCTATCTTCCCTCATCTCTTTTGTGATAGCAAATATAGTCCCATATCGCGACTTGGTGGAGTACACTGCTAAAAACTCAGATAAATGCAACTTTTTTCATGAACGGAGCATGCAGTGTAATGAATCTGAACTTGCTATACTGATCGATTTAAGATACATGAATTTAAAAATAGTTTTAGGTTGGTTAAAGTTAGCCTTCATCTGCAGTAATTCAGGAATATTCTTAAGTTACCCTTGTATTGTACACCATGATAGAACTTTGAATCAAAGTTTCTACGTACCTCACAGGCCGGTCTCCTGTTGAAGCTCTCTCTTGTTGATACGCAGCATGTTTTATTTGGCAAACTGACCATGCAAGCTTTTACCTGCAGCCGATGATTAAACCTTTCGAAAACTCTGCACTCAAGAGACGTTCTAACTGAGTGCAGAGTTTTCGAAGGGTTTAATCATCGGCTGCAGTTAAAACCTTGCATGGTCAGTTTGCCAAATAAAACATGCTGCGTTTCAACAAGAGAGAGCTTCAACAGGAGACCGGCCTGTGAGGTACGTAGAAACTTTGATTCAAAGTTCTATCATGGTGTGCAATACAAGGGTAACTTAAGAATATTCCTGAATTATAGAAGAACTTATTAAATACACTCAATACTTTTGATTATTCTTTCAAGAATTTCACAAAATTGCCAGCACAATAATCTTATTACGGTCTTTGTGTTCAAACAAGTGTGTCAATTGTTTGAAGTGGAGTTTAAAGATCACATGATAACAATTTTTTTAAACTTTGCAGAAAAGCTGTTAGTACCTTTATACTGGCAAAAGTTGAATTTGGGGCAAATTGCGCCACAGGTTTATGGCATAGTTAACATTGATTCACATTAACACCAAGGGTCTTTAAGAGTTATGGAGTATCTGTCGATATTTCCGAAGTCTGTTTTTGATGTTAGGGACTGCTTGACCGCAATACGTCATAACTGGACGGATTTAGAACTCGGCACCTAACTAAAATAAATTGCGAAATATTATGGATAAATATTATAATTTTCTTTTTTACATACCCAGACATTAAAGTAGCGGAAAACGAATATTTTCAATTGTCGACTAGAAAAACACGGTCGTCTTTTTTAAAAGACGACCGTGTCTAGTATCAAGCCCTCAGTTGTATTTGGTTTCGTTTTAGCTTGACTATGATCGACTGATTGGCTTGCCTGACACACAATTCTCTCTGACATATTTCAGAAGTTATTGGGTCATTCATTTTTCAAATATTGGGACTGTGTTGTGTTTAGAAACCGTCACTTTGATCAAAGCGTCAACTGGAGACAGAGAAAACACTCTAAAAGTCATTTGTCTAAGTGGAATGTTGTTCAAAGAGCAAACCAATTAAAACAATATCTGATCGAAGCAGTGGCCAAAGTCATCGAGAGGCTTAGGAAACACATGGCCTTTAGATTTCTACCAGGGTAGTAAATGGAAATGCGATCAAGGAAGGATTTTGCGATGCATGTGTTTTGCGCTTTTTATGATACTTCAGAAATCTTCAGAGAAAAAATTGAAATCAAAGAGTTTGTTTTCGATTATTGGTGAATATAGCACTTTAAAAAATTCGTGATTTCGCTGACTGATAAATATTTTTAACGTTCAAGATATAGTTTAAATATAATGTTAATTGTATGGTACTCATATGTCTACTCATAAAGTCTGCCATTTGTTTGGCACATTTAGGAAAAAATTTCAAACATCAGTTATATTGAGTGAACTTAGATTGAATCTTGTATTTTCACAGCGCACTCCAACACTAAACCGCTGACCACAGACGTTCTCCAGCGAGTTATTAGACCATTCCGAAAATACGTATTTTTATAGTTCTTTACCGAGCTCAAAATCACCCATGTTTCTTTCTCTGTTTTTAGAATTGATTAGGTATTAAGGAAGCGAACAGTAAAATCCGGAACCGGCGAGCATAGCGGCCGTAGTTTAAAAATCTGAGGTAATCAACTTAAAGGCCATGAATTAAAAATTATTTCCGATGTGATTTCCTCCGGACACAAATTGAGCCTTGAATCGACTTACACAAAGACACCGGAGGTGCATAGTAGTACCTCGAGCTATCTCGAGTCTCGCAAAATATTTAATCTATCTCGAAACCTCATCATAGTTTGCCTGAGTCTCGGTTTCGTATCTTCTACCTTTGTTCTCAAGATGTAAAATTTCTAAAAACAACTGTGCTAGTATATTGCATACTTTGTTGGAGGCAAAATTCTGCGTAGGATCAATGTCAAGAGAAAAAAATTGAAATGGAGAAATTGATATTTCGCGTAAACGAATGGAAGTTAAGAGAGAGTTTAGTATTCCCAACCCCAACGCCACATTTTTCCAGTCGAGCTAAGTTGGACATTTGTCTATCATCCTACTGATCGGATCTCAGCAAACCAAACGACCAGGGGAAAAAGTTGCGGACCACGAAACGCTAGATCAAAACCAGACTAATCTCGTGTTTATCATGTTATTAGAACATAGCAAAGGTCTGTTGTTTACTAACTTTTTGACCGGAACTCATACAATATAGTTAAGCTGCAGTTGTAAGAGTGAGAAAAACAGGTCAAAAGGCCCGAGCACAGCGAGGCTTAAGTGTGGAAAAGATAATCAAATTTCATGGCATATTACGACTTTAAGTCGTCGGTATTTCCGTGAAGAGGCCAGATCACGAAATATTCTACGCTTTGTACCCTGTTCAAAAGATTCGCCGAAACCACCATTTGTACCATGAACACTTGCCATGTGCAACCGAGCGTCTCGAAGATTTTGCACGATGACCTTCTTGAGACTTATGTCTTCTTCTGCTCTTATCTTGTGTAACAAAAGTGGCTGGCGTATGATATAATTACATGACAATATTACCAAGTCAAGTATCTGGTAAAGGTAGATGTTGCATAACAAATCGTCACGCTTGTTCTCACGAGCGACCTAGATAACTTACATGGTGACCAGAAACGTGATGGTAAATTACGTAAGTAAATGATAGCATCGAAAACTTTTACCTTTGAACTCTCTCACTTCCCGTTCAAAGGGCTCTTTTTTCGATATTAATCTAGTAAATAGTGAATGGTATTGCACTGTAATTTCTTGAATCTTAGGACTGGAATGGTTCGAGCCTTTCCATGCACTGCAGCTCAAGCGTGGCGTACATTTTGGTAGAGCATGGGCCGAGAGCCAGTCACGAACATATAAATAGTGCAGACTGGGACGCGAAGCGACCCATCAAAATGTTTGCCATTGGGGGCATGCAAATGTTCTATTCCAAAGTTTTCCGTTATGAATAGTTTTTTGGCGTGTTGACAGTCTGAAGAGTACAGTTTTAAAGCATAGAGCGAGACACCTTCCGTTCGGACAAGAAAATTTGACGCCACATTTGCTCATGTTCCAATACAGAACTAAATTTTGTAACATTTCCGGTCCTGTACTCAATTTCGAATTATCAGTGTTCAAAACAAGACAAGAGCAAATTTAAGCGCTCTAATTTATTCGAATTTATGCTACTACCTAACCACAGCCTGTGTTGTTTTTAGGGATTAACAACAACAAAAAAAGGGACAAGGATTAACGTTGAGCCACCACACTTCTCTTGGTTTTAGGGATACTGATCATGGCTACTTGTCAGTTTGTTACTTTCCCATAAAAAGACCCCACCCATTTTCAGTCGCCTATTTTTTCGCTCGACCTCATCGAGAGATCTTGGTCGCTTTCCATTTGACCAAAATTTGCGAGATTTCCGGTCTGAAATCGAATGGAACGGGAAAAGTTCCGGGATAATTTTTCGAAAATTAAGGAATAAATATGCCCTCTTGGATAAGGTCGGACTCGTTCCATTCGACCGGCGAAATTCCGATGTTTTGAACCGGTAAGTTTTGTTGAATAAAAAGCACCTCTTTCGACTCAGCGATTAGGTGCGCCTGCGCATCCGTGAACAAGATCGCCAGCGGATCTTTAGGCAGGGGACTGGGCAAACGTTTGAAGGAAAACTAGAGAAACAATCCCTATCAAAGAGGATATGCGAAAAATTGAAACGCTCATAGAAATCTGCGAAAGGAAACAACGGTAGGGGAAGGGAAAACTCGAGACTCTCTAACACGAATCTTGGTGCACAGGGTGTACCCAGGAGCCATTAAATGGGCGTGAAATGTTCAGCAAGCAGCCGTGGACGATAATCCTACTCTTGTACGTTGGATCAGCAGTGATCTAATCGGCCCAAAACTATTTCTATTTCTAATTGTTATCTCATTGTCAATCAAATAAGGTTTACGTATTTCCGCTATTACATCATACAGCTCTCTAAGTACCACCTTAATTCTATGTCAATTTCCACTGCACCTGAAGAAGGCTGGTTTGGCCAGCCGAAATGTAGTGCTCCGTCTTAAAACTTATCTACGTTGTATTGGTCTTGCCTCTATATTTCTATTAAATGGGCCCCCGGTGTACGAAATTACGAACATACCATTTTGCTTTGAGCCTTATCAACAAAGTTGTAGATTTTTCTTAACCTAGTGACTTACTGGCATCCATGGTATATTTTTTAACTTCCTTAGGACATTTTAGCTCTGAAAGCCTGAATGCATGCCACCCAGTCCGCTATTAGTATATTACAACGTTCGCACACGTGCAGACGTTTAACAACTATGATGGCCAACGTGAACTTAGCACAGGCCAAGAGATTCAGAGTCTCATCCAAACCAACGGCAAAAGTTTTGGTCATCTGTCTTAGACCTGTTTATTTGATCTGTGTGAAGATAGCAAAGTTTTTATCTTCTGGATCAGAAAAAGAGTGGGCAAAGTTTAATGGAAATTCGCCCGTGAGCATAAAATCTGTCTACTGCTGCTGCTGAAGCAAGCGAAGAAAATATCGATGAGATTAAGATAAGTCTTCGCAACAGTCACTCTAAATAGCCTTTTTAGAGAGACCGCATTACTGCCCATGAGGTCGGCGATTCTCATACCCTTCTCAGTTCAACCACGTTTATTTTTTCGTGCTTGCCCTGCTTTCCTCTCGTGCTAGCGAACTAAGAGCCTGAAATAGCTAATAATTTATCTCTATTTCCATCACCTCACTCGTCTACTTGCGGCTACACAGATCAGGCTTCCATTTCGATTTCCAATCGAGTCACCATCCTAATAAGTTGTCATAGATAGGCAAGACAAACAAAATTTTGGCCACAATTAAACCTGCGAGAAGAAAAAACAAGATTCCGTAAATTACAGTACGGCCCGAGAAAACGATGCTAATAAGAGCTTTATTCTATCTCTGGATTTAATTATGGGGAGAAAGTTTTCAATTCAAGCAAACTTTTTAATTTAGTTGGCCATACAGGAAAATATGGCCTGCCTAATTGGCCAGTCGAGATATAATAAAAGGCCTTATTATTCAACTACACTCCGTAGAGTACAAATGACTCGCGAATAAAGAAGAAATATCACACGGCATTTGTGCTCCAGAGAACCGTAAATAAATATCCGCGAGATTTGTTGTGTTGGATGATAAATCTCTTATCAAACGTTTTCTCGTATGGTACATGTATCGCTGAGTATTTTTACGAGTTGTACTGTATTTTGACGAGCCCGTAGGGCAGTATTGGTCGCAGCAATGTTTTGAGAGCAGATAGCAATTTGTAGCTTTACGCAAAGCTTGCGGAGGAAGTTCTTCCCGACATTTATAACCATCATTTTGAATTCTCACAGCGTGGGTAGAATATGGGTTGAATTGAATTTTGATAAGTGGGAAGGAAAAGGAGGAAGTGTGAACCCGAACAGCCTCACCTGCCCACTGGCCACTATTGACCAAAATGATGTGTAATAGCGTTGAAGAGTATTAAAATAGATGTAGATGAAACATGAAGAATCTGGGCAAACTATCGCTAGTTTCCCTAAAGCTTCCTCATTAGTGTCCGTTATGCGGTTTTCCTTTAAAGAGTAGTATCCAGCGTGGTAGAAGAGCATTCTATCAAAAAAAAAAAAAAAAAATTGAGGCACAGATTCATAGATCGCCAGAGTTCCTGTTCCCGCGCAGAGGTGGGTTATTTTTATTGCTTTCCGCGCACCGACACTTTTGGACGTATTATGCGATCCGACCAAAAACTTCCTCGTGTTTTCTCCGTTACCAACCGCTTTCTGATCGCTTTTTCTTCTTAACACCTATAACAGGCCTGAGCAAGTTGTAGAAAAATAGAAGTGAACTTCAAAGCAAGCGATTTACTGAAAGGACTGGTAAGGAAAAACATAGTTTTCCCGCCATAGGCTTGGTTGCTAAGGAGAGAAAGAGGAAGTTGGAAACAGAAACCAGAAACAGGGGGTGTACTTTCAATCTAAAAACAGCTGAACTTAACGTTTTATATGAGAAAGGAACTCTTCGTCTTATTAACTGCATTTCAGGTTAGGTATTATCATTTTTTTATGGTTACTGTCCTCAGAAAGTTCTTACAGGTGATTGTTGACGTAGATTCCATTTTGGATCGAATTACTGTCGTGTTCGAAAACGGCAACTTAGTCAGAACGCGAGAATACTCAGTCATTGTTTATTTTATGCGACAAATTTTATCATGTGAATGTTTTGGGGATATTTAAGTAATTCTAGTAGAATGTGGTAAAGGTTATAAATTTTCTTTCTTTGTAATCTGTGGACTTCTGCATGGTCTTTCGGGTTACAAAAATAATGTCTTACGGAAAGAGTTCCCACTTGCCAAATTTTAGCAGTAACTAGTTTGGAAAAAAGTGAATTTGTCATTAACCAAAAATATTTCAGTGAATCTATTTCTGGGATCGAGGAGGCTGGTGTTTACCATTTATAATGTTTCTCTCACTAAGCTATGATTAATTCACCCAACAAAAAATTGTACTACCATACCCTTGGCTTATGATGAAGCCTTTCAATACGCTTGATTTTATATTCCAGCTGTTGTGATGCAGTTGTCGCTTTCATTGTAGTTTTTAAGTCAATATGTTTCCAGCATTTTATACTTGATTGTATAGTTTACTTTATATTTTCTCTATGTATGGCACAAACGTTTTATACTATCCCCTTTTATATTCAATCTAAGGGCCTGTTTCTTATTCTACTGATTGAAAGGCTCAGAAAGCTGTACTGTTTTCTTTCAAGATGGGGGAAACTGAAACCTACTTCTATTATCTTTGAATTTTAATTTCTGGGCCCATTAAGTTAATGGAACTTTTGAGAAATGGGCTCCAGTTCCCTAGTTTTTAATCAATTTATTCAGCCCAGCATTGTTTTTATTGGGTAATTAAATTATCATGCTTCAACTTTAAGAATTTACATAAGGACAAAAGTCCCCAGAGCCAAGTGATTCTTTAAATTTTATTATTTTTGCCTCCAGGAATGTAAGTATATATATATATATTGTGGGAGGAAAAAGACAAGTAAACTACAAGTTCATCCCTACAAGCCTGTTTCGTGGTCGCGCCCACTCATCAGGGGATTTAATGAGAACTATTGAAACATCTGTGGACCTGTCTTGGAAGGTTTTATTGACAGAGGCCAAAATGTAGTTTGGCGTTAAATCCCCTGATGAGTGGGCAACCATGAAACAGGCTTGTAGGGATGAACTTGTAGTTTACTTGTCTTTTTCCTCCCACAATATATACTTCGCTCTACTTCTATGTATTGAGCACTGTTCTACGAAAATCAAGTCACACTTTATATATAGATATATATATATATATACTCAAGTGAATGTTACCTGATATTTACACCACTTATAAACTAATTTTGATCATAGATCTCTTTAGTCAGACCCTTAAAAGATTCTTGTGATGCAAAAAGTGACCAAAGCTGTTTTCAAATGTCAGAGTTTTTAGAGGACAGAGAGGGAGACAATATGGGACAAAGTGAGTTAAACTGTGTTTAAAATAGAGGAAAGGTTTTAAATGTGGTGAATACCTTATTATAGGAAATTAACAATGCACTTAATGAGGAGATTTTACAAAATTCATGTTAATTTTAATGTATCCTATTTAATGTTGATGTAAATTTAATGCACGCTATTTTACAACATTGTTATTTTAAAGCACCTTTATTTCCTAAAAGCTAACTACTGTAAATGCTTCTTTTTCTCCATGAGACATGTGTATGTTGAGATTTTGTAAGTGCTCCAAGTTTGTGTTACTGCAACAAACTGTGGTTTGGTTTCTGTCAATTAAACAAGTGAGCAGCTCTTGGTGATTTCATGGAGGCTTTGAAAGAACTTTTGAATTGATAGGGTCTAGTTAAGCTTCAAAACCAATTTTTCAGCCTTAAAAAAAACTTAGAAACATCTGTGGACTTGTCTTGGAAGGTTTTATTGACAGAGGCCAAAATGCAGTTTGGCGTTCAGAAATGTAAAATGCGAGTTTGCAGAATTATGAAAATTGAAGTAAATAAAGCTAGATGCTTACTGAAAAATTTGTTATTTTAATACATGTAAACCTAATTTTTGAAAAATTCGCATTAATTTAGAGTAATGTAAATTTTCTTCACGTTGTGAACATGCATTGTTAATTTCCCGTAATAAGGTAAATACATACCATTTCCTCTATAGTCTGCAGTGCAAGAAGGCAGTTAGTCCAAAGGTGGACTGTATTGTTGTGTATTCATTTGTAGAGACAAACACTCTTTAATTGCTTTCTATAATAGTAATAATAATAATGATGATAATTTGTATAGTGCAAATTCCATACAATGTTCAAATGCACTTCACAATAAAATAACACAGTAATAAATAATACAACTATTAAAATAACATAAAATGAAATAAATACTAGAACTACATACAAATACTAATGTTATACTAATACTGCTATAATTTCGTGTTCAGGCTAAGATAAAAATGCTAAACGCTGTCTTTATTCATTGATCAAGTATCGAACAAGCTGGAACAATCATCTCACTCACCTATAGTACTTTCACATCCTTTAGTAATCCTACAGTAATATCACTAACGTACATGTACTTTTACTATGTTCCTATTGGGTACACAAATGTTACAAGCCCTTTGAATGGCAAGAGTGACTGACATCTAATTTCTGCTGACAGTTGGTCGCAATGGCATGATGACTTGTAGGGCTCATGGTTAAAATTGTCTATTTTGATGAAAGGAAACTTTGGTTAACTTTTTTAAGACTAATGCTGTAAATTTGTCAATTTTTCCATTTAAAAGTGAAATTCCTTTTGTGGTTTTAAGGCTAACAGTGAACCCCATTTGAACCCTCCCTACAGAATAACAGATCACCAGTTTAAGAAACACCTGATTTGTCAACAAATTCCCCTTGTCATTACCACAGGATATGTGCAGAGAACAGTATGGAGAATACACATACTGATGCTAGGGTATAAAGGGTGTAAGAGGATAATGTCTACAAAAAATTTCAACAGCTGGACAGTGGTTTACACCCCAGATTGTTGAACCTTTTAACGGAACATTTCAGCACCATATTAAAATCTGCTGCAATCTTCATCTCGCTGTGATCCTTTTGTCACTACCTTGTTGCTCATGTCAAGCTCCAACTTGGTTGAATATTGTCTATGCAATATTCAGCACTCCCTCTGCTGATAACAGTCCCTCTTCACTTTCTCCAAACTGTTCCTGATTTACAGAACCATGCTTTGAAATTTGTTTCAACAGATCAGAGTTCAAAAGGCAAGAGAAGGGAAGATGCTTTCCCAGATACTCTAGAAGGATTTGGATACAAGTTCAATGAAGGTTTGTGACAGAAAAAAAAATCTTATGCAGAACACTGCCCTATCTGTCAATTGTAGTGTACACAACTGTTTCAATTATGGAGGGCCAGAAGCTTTTGCTACTATCAGAAGTGGTTCTTTCAGTCTGGGTTCCACTGTTCAGCTAGACCTGACCAATTCTTTTCTTAACAGAAGCAGCAAGAAGAAGTACTCCTTAACCCTTTCACTTCCAGAATTGATTAATTAATTGATTAAGATGGATAGAGCGCTGGACTGTTGTGCAGGAGGTCAAGGGTTTGAGCCCCGGCCGCAGACCAACACTCAGGGTCTTAAAATAATTGAGAAGAATATGCTACCTTTCTATAACATCAAGAAATGATTAGATATTCTAGTCTTCTCAGATAGGGATGAATAAATTAATGTCTCCTGCAGGGTTAGGGGCAGGAGACATTAA